TTTCTATTTGTCTGTTGTACCGGCTAATCTCCGAAATGGCAGGACCGATTTTGACGTGATTTCATTGACAGGTAGCTGATGTAATAAGGAAAAACTTAGGGTACTTTTATTTTAGAAAAATAATTAGGGTTACGCTAAAAAAATTTAAACCCATGTAATTCAATCGTAATAAATTAAACGCGGGCGAAGTCGCGGGGAACAGCTCGTTATATAATCGTCATGATCGTCATTACGGCCTTTCAAAGCCCACTGCTAAACATAGACCTCCCCCAAGTTATGCCACAAAGCACGGTTCTGAGCCACCTGCATCCATCGACTGCCTGCATGTCTTACCAGGTCGTAACTGCATCTAGTGGGGACGGTCGCCCTACACTTCGCCTACCGGTATGAGGCTGCCACTCCTCATTCCCTCATCCCCTAAGTTTATCACGCAAAGAAAACCCAAGCATAGCCCTCTCCATAGCGAGCTGAGCGACCTTGAGCGTCCTTATACGGCCAGTAAAGGACCACGTCTCAGATCCATCAGTCATCATCGGCAACACGCACTGGTTCTACAATTACGTTTGCAGGTTTTGAGGTATACCTGACGAGAAGATGTGCCGTAATTTCCCTAACGCTGCTCAGCCGAGCTGAATCCATCGATTGACCTATCGATCGAAGTTGGACTTACCTGGTCAGACTATTTGTCCCAGGTAAACATACTCGTCAACAACTTCGAGCTTAGTGCTCCCAACAACTACTGGCATACGAGTGTGACGTGTACGTTATACATTATCTTTTTTTAGTCCATGTTCATCTTAAGTCCTATCCGTTGGGCCCTATCCGTTGGGAAGCACTATTGAAGTCAATGAGCATAGTGCTTTGGTCCTCCAGCGATTATATCGTCGGCAAATCGAAGGTGAGTGATGTAATCGCCGTTGATGTTAATACCACATCCTTTCCAGTCCAGTAGCTTGAAAACGTCTTCCAATGCAGCGGTGAAGATTATCGGGGATATAAAGTCACCTTGTCTTACACCTCTCTGCAGTTCGATAGGTTTCGTACTCTGGTTCTGTACTCGGATAGCCATCGTACCCCTACTGCACAAACACTTCCGCACTTCGATATACTGACAGTCAACCTGGCACTGCTGAAGAGACTGCTGCACCGTCAAAATTTCGATGGAGTCAAAGGCTTTCTCATAGTCCACATACGCAACACATAATGGCAAATTGTTCATTGGTCTTGCCGAAGGGTATGTATGTGGTCTATGGTGCTAAAGCCTTTTCGGAAACTGGCTTGTTCAGTAGGCTAGAAATCGTCGTGCCTGCGTGCGAGACACACATGCGCGAACACACGCAAGCACACACACACAAACACACAACACACATTACTAGAATAAACTGGGTATTTTTTTTATTATCTATCTTTATTTAAAAAGGCTTTTATCCTACAAGGATATGTCAGCCTTATCGTAACCTAACTTATTCGTGTTACACAAATGATTTTTTTTCTTTCAACCTGTCATTTTTCTTTACATTTTAGCATTATTTTAACTTAATCGGAGTCCTATGTATTAATCGGTGTAAGTGCTGTCAGTCAATGTTCTTGGTTCCTGCGATACAAGCCTAGAGCTTAGTGCAGAAACCAGTGTAATGTTTTGTTTAATTATGTAATATTTTTTTTGGTTAAATAAATATATTTTCTATTTCTATTTCTAAGACCACCGCGCTTGTGCTCTACGCCTCCGGTGTAGTGCCACCATGGAGAACGAAATTAAAAAGCTTCTGAAGGACTCCCAGTTTTTCACCCGCTTTCAGAAGCTCCGCTGTAATTCCATCCTCGCCCGGGGACTTGCCATTTTTAAGGTGCTGGACAGCCATTCTAATCTCGCTCAGACTGACGTCCGGAATATCATCGGAATAGTGTCGGATAACGCTTGCTCTTCGATCGTTACTCACACTTACATGTGGAACCAAAGATGACGTGTACAGCTGCCCATAGAACGTCTCAATCTCACTAAAATTTTCAGGTATCCCGGAAATGATTATGCCACACTTGTTCTTCAGCTTTGACAGTTGGCTCTTTCTGGCACAGATCTCTGGCAAAGACTTTGGAGCCCTGGTTCCGCTCGATCGCTTTTTTAATACGAGCAGTATTAAAGTTGCGTAAGTCCCGCCGCATGCATTTGGAGATCTATCTGTTCAGTTGCCTGTATGCTCTCAAATCTATTGAAGACTGCAGCTTCATTTCCCGTCCAACATCCATGAGATTAAGAGTGTGATCAGAAAGTTTTTGTGTTCTTCTGCGGCGGGTCCTGCAGAACTAAGCTCCGACCGCATGGACAGTTTCCACGAGCTTGTCATTGATATCGTTCAATGCATTGCAATCTTCAAGGTACTGAAAACGGTTTTTTAACTCGAGCTAAAAGGTTTCGGGACTTTGGGACTTTGGCACGATGGGGACGGAGCGTTGACTTTATTAGACGTGACCACTCCAACTTAACGTTTAGGATTAGTGTGCCTGCCGGTGATCGCTTCCAGTTTTTACCCTCGCGATCATTGAGACATCACTGAACAGTTAGCGTTTACTCGTTATAACGAAGTCAATCTTATTTTTTGTCGTACCGTCGGGGCTCAACCAGGTCCATTTTCTGTGGGGCCGGTTCTGGAAGAAATATTTCATCATAATGAGTCCCTCTTTCTCAATGAAGTCGGCCAGCTGCTGGTCCATTGGGTTCTGTTACCCTATTCCGAATTTCCCTTCCTTCAACTCTCCTGTGCCTAGTTTTGCGTTGAAGACTCCCAATAACACCGTATAGTGGGTTTTGGAGGAATGCATGGCTTTGGAGATATCCTCATACATTTCCTCCACCTCCTCATCGGGATGTGCCAAGGTGTATGACCTTCAGCGAATACCGTTGGGTAATTCTGAGTATAAGGTACGCAACTATCGTCGACACACTCACAATCTTTACAACGTTGTTAATGGGAGACTTGTAGACGATGAATCCAACACCTCCTTGGGACAGATGGTCGCCCTCCCGGTGATAGAGCAAGTTGCCGGATTCGAGGATTACCGTGTTTTCTCCTCCCCGTCAGATAATAGTGGCAACTGCAGTTTTTTAATTGTAGTATTTTTTCATCGAGAAGACTGCTGCCCTCTCCTGCCTGTTTCCCAATGTCGCTTCTTACGACACCCACGGGAATATATGGGGTAGTAGATATTCTTAATTGCCACTACACGGCTAGTTATATAATATTTGACGATAATACGTTCCTTGCCGATTTTGTATTACGGTTACAAGCTATAATTTTGTTTTATAGTATAAGAGTGACGAACGAGCACACTGTCCACCTGGTATGTATAGATGCTGTGGCCCATAGATATTTACATCTATGCCCGACTAAATTACAGAAACGTTGTCACATTTGAGAGCAAACATGTAAAGCCTCGTTTTCCATAAAAAGTGTCTCCGATTTTCTACATTCACCATACGAAACACGGCAGAATTAAGCTACTATTCTACGCCGACTTTTCCCCGGTCGAACCAAACCTATCGTGTTACAAACACAATATACCTGCAGCATGACTCTACCAAATTGGAAAAGTTATTAGGAAACTTTTCGTAACCGTGAAAGTTAATTTTTGCACTTCAACTTTATAAAAGTGAAGTTTTTTTACCTAGGAAACCTATAAATGTTAATTAGTACGATCTCTTTTTTAAACTCCTGATGAAATGATAAAGGCAAAGTTGCTTGTACTGGGATTATGGATACCAGTAATCGCCAAGTCTATGTTCCAAACGTACACAGACAAAATAATATACACAGATAGCATGATAAAATTATTCCAACATCATATAAGGAGATAAAATCTAGTGGTTATTAACCGATCCCAAGATTTTTTATCGCAGTTTTGGCACAATGTAATATCTGAAATTTATCATTCATTTAGTATTCTAGCCTTTGAAATATTGTAAAATCTATAGTTTAGTTTAGTTATTAAAAACACTAAAAATAAATATTGTATTCTCGGTCCAATGGAAGAGCAGAGTCACCCAACACAAGCATTACTACAAGCTTCCTGGGCGACTCTGGCCACAAAATAATGCATGTAGACCTAAGTTAAAGAAATAAACAATTTTTATTTATTATTATTTATATAAATGCTTAAGGCAAAAAAGTACATTAGGTAAATAATTTACAGAGACGTCGGCTATAACTATAATTTCTTTTTCATTTAAATTAAAGCCATTTTAAACAAGTGAGGGTGACAAACGAGCACACAGTCCTTTTAATTTTAGTTGTACTCCTACCTTATATTATAATTATAAAGGGTCACCCATACCGACGTTCACTAAATAAAGTACTCCAGAATTACGCTGATTTTTGAGGCTTGTATTATTTTAGTACTTAGGTAAATATTACTAGTGCTCGGCGGTGAAGGAAAACATCGTAAGGAAACCTGCATGTCTGAGATATAAGAAAAACAAAACATTTCCAAGACATGTGAAGTTCGCCAACACGCATTGGAGCAGCGTGGCGGACACTTCCTTGCCCCAAAATCTCTTATAACCTTTAATTACCGACGTGCATTTTTTTAACGTTAGTACCGACGTGAGGTCTGAGAGGCCGCGAACATTATTTTTTATTTTTTAAAAAAAGTTATGATTTCATAATCCGTCTTTGTATTATGATGAAAAGTAAAGGGTTTTAAGTAAAAATAAGTATAATAAGGAATTCAACTTTATTACATTTTTAAATATAAGACTACAATAGAGAATACAATAGAGAGGAGGTCTTCGCGCAGCTGTGAGACGTAACTTTTTTTGATATATATATTTATATCCAACACAAGTATTTTATAACTTACTGGAGCTACCTCAATTTATGTAATGCATGACCATTGAGAAACAGTAAAACAATTATTATTATTATTATATATAAAGGAAATACCACTGACTGACTGACTCATAACATGAGATGTCTAAAACTATACACCTGATTGACTTGAAATTTAGTAGGATAGTTGCTCATTTCGCGATGTAGACGCTCACTAAAGTCGGATTTTATGATAGTCCAATAAAAAAAAATCTTGATATTTTACATACGTGCGTCCAGCGAAGCCAGCAGGTATCAGCCAGTATTTTTTTTATTTATACCATTTCTACACAAGTAAACAAACCAAAACACATTTCATCTGATAGCAGTTGTAGTGTTAGCAGTAAAAATGTTCACTCGTACCGTCGCTCACAGGTCACGTATTGGTCAACGTCCAGCTGATCTAACCCATATGAAAAAATAACGTTTTTTTTTTAATTGAAGTGAAATTTCTTTATCAACGTAGTGGAAAAAATTACTACCGCCAGGGCTGCATGTTTATACTATTTATTGTAAGTATTTAACCTACTTATCTTCTTCTACCTCTATACATATAATAAAATGTAAATAACCGATGTCTATACATTTTAGATTTATATAATAAAAGTGATTGTGAGGTACTAAAAATAAGTAATTAAATACATTTCTACCATTTTTAGAATTTTCTGTCTGTCTGTCTGTTTGTTTGTTAACGTATCACGTATAAAGTACCAATTTATATCATAAGAATCGTTAAAGAAATTATAAAGTGTATCTTCAGGTTAAATTTAGTCTTTATTTCATTAAAATTAGTTCATTCCATCAAAAGTTATGATAAATATTCTGAAATATGGGTACTAAGTATAGGTACGAATTTGTTCAATAGTGGCGTTGGATGAGTCATCAAGTACATTTAAAAATTAATATCATATTATAAATCATAATTAAATGATGTAAAATAATGTTCTATAATGATATAATTATATCTAAACGCAGTAAACAAAAGTATTACATAAAGAACGTAATAAATATTGTAAATAACAGCCCAGATTTAAGACGTTATTAATGTTGAATATCCTTTAAGACGATCTATGTAGTTATTTAAGTTTTAGTCACGTAAGCTTACAATGGGGATCCACACGCAAAGCTAATCGTAGAGGGCACCAGCGGCGCCATGGCTGCTGTCAAATTGTTGTAGATTAGTTTACATGAGGAGATTTTGCTTTTCTTTGTATTGAAACTGGTTGACCATCGATCATTTTAAGATGTATTGTACCTGGAAGCTTAAAGAATTGAAAGACGAACTAAAAAAACGAGGAGCGAAGATAACTGGAAAGAAATCAGATCTTGTTGAGAGGTAGGCTTGTATCTACTAAAATATTATACACCTGTAGACATATATATACAAGTTAAGGATTTGGAGCTAGTTTTGTTTGGAACGTGTTAATTATTTCTTGATCAATGTTAGGAAAATTTAGAGAACATTACTCAAATCATAAATGGTATTTTTTGCTTTTAGGTTAGAATCATATGACCGAAATTTTAATTTCGGCAATCAAAGCCCTGTAGCTTCTCAAAGTCAAGCAATTGATGTTCCTGCTGTGGAACTTTACCAGGACGTTAATAGCTGCACGATATTGCCAAAGATTACCAAAAAACATATTCAAAGTTATTTTGATAGGTAGGTAATAATTGTTTCTAACGTTTTTGTAAATATTAAAGATTATTTGTCCACTAAGTTTATTAAATAGTGGTTATATCCTTTCTCTTGATATTTAACATAATACTTTTTATTTCAGATTCAATAAAAATATCAGTGATGCAGTAAAATTGTATGAATCAAGATACATACTTAAAAGGTAGGTTCACCAGAAAATGAAGGTTGATGTCTCAAAAATAAATAGATGGTTAGGTGGTTAAAGTTGATGTGTAATATATTTGTCTTTCTTTTAAATATGAACATATAAATACTTCTTCCAGGTTTTTGCAAGGCATCTATGAAACAACTACAATATGAGGTAAACATCAAATTAAATAATGATGGAATGCCTGAAGAAGCAACATGTGAATGTGCAGCAGGAGAAGGCAAAGAAGCCCATTGTAAACATGTAGCTGTGGTACTTATTGCTGCTGAAAATATTGTTAAGGAAAAAATAATACTGCTACATGAAGTTACGACATCACAACTTCAAACGTTTCATAAGCCTACAAAAAAATATTATGCCACACCATTGCGAGCCTCCAGATTGCCATCCAAAAGGGATTTACATAACATTGTTTACTCTCCATATTTAAAACAAAACCCTTATTTTGATAAAAAGGCATTCCAATGCAGGTTTCAGTCCCTGATTTTAAATTATCCACTCTCATCGATGCCCCTTAAACAATTATTTCCAGCAGCTAACCAACGAGCAATATGTTTAGATCATAAATATATGGAAAAAAGTGCACAGGATGTTTTTTTAGAATCCATTAATTTACAAAATTTAACTGAAGAAAGATTAGTGGAAATCGAACTGGAGACTAGAGGACAAAGTTTCAATCCAAAGTGGCATGAGTATCGACAAACGCACATCACATCAAGTATATTTCACACTGTGTGCCATTTGAGAAGTGAAACTTTAGTAAAATATTGTAACCAAATATTAAATAAAAATCTAGTCCAAACAAGAGCGATGGCACACGGGATGATTAATGAAAAAGTAGCCATTAAAAAATATATGGAGATTTATGGGGTGGTTGTTGAAGAGTGTGGATTATTTTTGTCTCAGGAACGACCTTATCTAGGAGCATCTCCAGATGGCTTACTAGGATCGGAAACAATAATTGAAGTAAAATGCCCTTATGCTTCCAGAAACCAAGAAATCGGTCCTCTTACAGTACCTTACCTACAATTTGATTACAATGGACAACTTACTTTAAAAAAAACTAATATTTATTACTATCAAATTCAAGGGCAATTATATGTAACAAAAAGAAAATTTTGTAATTTATTAGTTTTTACCTATAAAAGTTTAAAAGTAATATTTATTGAACGTGATGAACAGTTCATTACGGATATGTTGAGAAAACTTGATTATTTTTATTACAACTTCTTTAAAAATGCTGTAACCAACAAATATTTTTTTAAGGATTAAGATTTTATAATATGCTAGGGCTGAATCTGAATGAGAGGGTGAGAAATTGTGTGATAAGAGAAAAGTGTGTTTTAAAATGTGATGTTGTGAACAGGATTAAGAAAGAAATTCTTTGGTGGTTTGGTCGTGTGGAAAGAATGAACAAGGAAAGAGTGACAAAGCAAATTTATATAACAGATGTGAACAGCAGAGTCGGGAAGGGATGCCCTAGACTAAGGTTTATCGACCAAATTGGAAATAAATTGAAAATGGGCCAGATTAACAGAACCCTTAACCAACGAGCATGTATGACTGTATGTATATGGATGTAAAGGAGGCGAGAGAGAGGTGTGTCAGGATTGTGTTAAATGGAAGTCCGTAGTCTCTGTTTACCCCTCTGGATAACAAGCGTGTTTATATTGTTTTTTAAGATTTTATAATAAACTATATGAACAGTTATAAAAAAGCTTTTTATTTCATGATACTTTCTCTAAAATTACAAGCCATAGCACAAACAAATAAAATTCTAGATGCTAGTGGTACATAATAAGGGCTCAATTCACTTTTTAAAATCTTATATGATTTAGCTAGACCTATAATACGTTCTATATGAACTCGTTTGCTTGCTAGTTTTCTGTCCTGAATTATTCTAACACCTGGTAATTGTGTTTTTCCTTTCAAAAACATTGGTATATTAATAGTAATGTCTCTTGATGCAAAAATGTCCTGCACATTAAAGCCTCTGTCTGCCATAATAGAATCCCCACTGTCACACATATTTATTAGTTTGGATCTTTCTATAATCTGTCTATCACTGACTGAACCTCCATAACATTCAGAGACATATGATATAAGACCTCCAGGTGTTGCTCCAATCATAGCCTTCACAGTGTTTTGATGTTTGTAACTGCTGAAGGTCACCTGCTGTGCTACTGGATTCCCAGGCCGTGTGATGGGTATTTCAGTTGTGTCCACAATAATCCTAGTATTTGGAAAACCCCTTTTAAACGACTCTGGCATATAATATTGAACCAATTCTTTACTTGGCCAAATATTAATTAAAGACCATATTTCATACATAAAATTAATCCATGTTACAAAAATGTTAGCAACAGTAGTTTGGGAAATACCAAATAAAAATGCCAACTCAAAATCTGGCATATACCTTCTAAGCTTTATTAGTGTTATCAACAGTTGGTCACCGATACAAACATTGATAACTTTACTTCCCCTGTAATTTAAATTATTACACATGGGACTTAATGTGTCTAACACCAACATAAATTTTTCATATTTTTCTAGCCCAGTATAAAAATGAATAGCCTGTGGATTGCCTCTCATGGCCTCTAGTGATAAGATTCCAAAAGAACTACCACATTGAGTGCTAACAGACACTGTTTTTGGCGTAAAATCTTCTATGGGGCCCTCTATAGTAGATATTTCAATTTCAGCACTAGAAGACGGTTCTGGAACACTTTCTTCTACAGATGGTTGTATAAAATCAAGTATGCGTCTGCTTCTTTTCATATAACGACTGGTTCTTGATGTAGGTGTTGTTGACACCTGGGTGGACCAAGGGAATATACTTGGTACAGTTCCCTTTTTCAGAAACTTGCATATTTGAGGATGTCCTGTAAACAACAAAAATTGAGAAAAATAGTACAGATTAATACAAATAACTTTACTGTACATGAGTAAAATAGATTTTATGAATTTAACACCATAATCCGATGTATGGAGGCATATATTACATACATTATTTATTTTATTGGTTCATTATTGGTTTATTTACTTCCTAGCCTTTACCCGGGATTTCGTTCACAAAAACTTAAACAAAAAACTACAGTATCTACCTATATAAGTGGGCTTTGGGCAAGTGGTTCAACTTTCGAAAAACCACTAGTAGAATCTATAATTAATAATAATGAATGAAATAACACACCTGTGTAGGCTGATTCTCCTACATAATCAGATTCTTGGAAATGATTCCGACATAACCTGCTATGCTGTGTCGCTACAAAATTTTTGCGTCTTATAGCCTTTTCCCACTTTTTTTTTAATGTTGGATCTTTGGGAAATAAATGTACACCGGGGTTAGCGCATCCTGGTACAGCACAAAGAGGCATATTTCGAGAAAACTAAAATTAACAATATGCTAGGTTATGAAACGTATGGATCTGACAGTTCTCAATGGCCATGTCGATGATACGCCATCTGGCGTGAGAAATCGGCAGTGAACATTGCCATTGTACGTAAGCTTGTTAATGTTTTTTGTATGCCTATAAAGAGTTGATTGTATATCTTTATAGTTATTGTCACCTATGTATTTGTTTATATAGTGTTTGTCAAATAAATAATTAATGTTTGTATGCCTATGCAAAGTGTTGTGTGTTTTATAATATTGTGTCACATACTTAATAGTAGTTGTTATAAAGATTTGCTGTATGTCTTATATTGTGTCACATACTTATTAATAATTGTTTGCAAAGATGTGTTGTATGAAAATGTATAATTGTGAAATAAATTATGAGTACTACTAAACACATCCCGCACATACCCCCGCACACATCCCTCCAGTCCGTTCATTGGTCAAATGGAGCATATGCGCCTCACGGGCGCTTGCACGAGTTGTGCAACTGACCGAATGAAATAAAAGGCATGCTGTGAGCGACCCAAATCATAACCAGCTCATTACTCGTCACTCGCTCATCGTTCATTCTGCATCCAACCCAACATACATCTCTACACCGCCTCAACAAGCTACACTCTACAAAGCCGCTCTTGTTTTCATATAAACAATAGTTTCATTTAACTTCATTATCCTATGGTCAAGAAGAAGTCTGCGTTTGAACGATACGGAGCCCTGCATAAAACTCCCACTTCGTTTAATGGTCAAACGAGTAGCGGATCCCATTTCGTTTAAATATATAAAAAAAAATATTAACCTTATCTAAATCTAAAGTACAACAGTTAACCAATTTCATCGATAGATGGTGGTGTTGCATACAAAAAGGCAGGTTGCAATTTTTTCCTGTAGATGAGTTTTCATATTTGCTGTTAATATTTATATTACTCTCTGCCCTACTGTGTGTTGACAATCTCATTAATTCTTTACCGCCGAGTATTCTACGTGGTAAATCAAAAGAGCTATTAACAATTTCGTTGGTTTCGGAGACGATCAAACTTTCTTTTTTGCTTACTATGCAGGCCTGATTTATAAGTTCTTTTGTGTTTTTTATTGTATCAATCGCGTCAACTAATCTCTTTTATTTTTAGAATTGATTTTAACAACACCATCTATCTTTAAATCTCTATAGGTACATGCGGTGATAACATGCTGTGTCTGTTTGTGTACATTGTATAGTACATTAATTTGTGACTAAAATCATTATGGAGACTGAAATTCATTAAATAAGTACATTTTATAATTTTTAGAATTGTGTGTCTATCTGTCTGTCTGTCTGTTTGTTTATGAACGCATCACGTCTTAAGTAAACATCTTTTTTTTTTCAAAGAAATCGTTAAGAAAATCAATATTTTGAAATGTAGGTTCTATTTGTTTAAAGGCGCCATAAAATCTCAGAAATAGTAAGAAAATGATTCGTGTGTAAAAAAACGTTCTATTATAATATATTTATACTTAAAACACAGTAAACAAAAATATATGTTTTCCTTAAATTAAAAAAAGGATGTTTTCTCACAAAGAACGTAATAGATAGCGTTGTACAAATTACAACTTTTTCTGAATTGCGGTGTTAATATTTTTCACCTGTGAATCGAGATTCACTTTTATTGAGATTCACTGAAGTAATTTACTGCGCCCTCTTTTCCCAAAAGAGGATCGCTTTCGATTCGGCAGAAAGGCCTAATAAGCCAATGTCAGTCCCATGGGTTGTGTTTAGTGGGTACCCCTAGGGTTGTTAGGTAGTTAGTCACAGTGAGTACCACATAATCACGACAGCCGGCTGTCGTGGTATGCATAAAGCATTCACCACCTCCTCGCGTTAATGGGATAGCCATTTTCATTTGCTTCTGGGCGCAAAAAAAGAAAAAAAAAGTAATTTACGTTAACGAGTCAATTTAAGCTAAAAGAACCGTGTAAGGTGTAGGCTAACAGCACAAACATCATCAGAAACAGAAACCATAAAAAAGATACGTACGCCCAAGCTAAACGTAGCAAAATTGCAACAAAAACAAAATGTCACGATGTTGTTTTATACCAAAAATCCGTCTTATATCAAATAACTTTCCTTTCAGTTTTAAGCGTGTTCTGTTCCCACTTCCCAGTCAGCGTGCGTTATGCAATGACCAATGACCGTAAATAAAGCGCAAGCTCAAACTTTACGCGTTGCAGGAGTGGACCTCAGCTGACTACTATGTTGCTTTTTCCCGCGTTAGTAGCGCCCGTAACATTTTTCTGTACGCCCCGGCTGTCTACTTCTAACGTCGTTTACACAGAAGTTCTATCACAAACGACTCAGAACTTTGAGCATAACGATTCATTTTGTTACCGCTTATTCATACAGTAATGATATAAATCGTTTAATATTCTCTTACCTAAACGTCGAATTCTTTAAGTAAAACCTATATATGCGAGCCATGACGCGGGCACAGCTAGTGTAAAATATAAAATAAAAGAAGAATGATATGTCGTAAAGAATTTTCACTTCGTACGCGTGTACACAACTTTTTGGAAAACTCATACACATACTAAATACCAGACACAATTCTTTGTTAGTCATCAAATTAATTTTCCTTATAAATTAATCTAATTTGTTTAAGGAAGGCTTGGAAAAAAATAAGATGTTCGGCAAGCCTCCACCGTTTCGTTGTTGACTTACCACGCATTCGAACCAAACGGTTCGCCACGTCGTTCATCATGCGTACAGCAATGGAGTGGAATAAGTTGCCAGCGTCTGTGTTTCCATCCGATTACAATGTGAGTGTCTTCAAAGGGAAGAGTGAATAGATTTTGTGAAGTCAGTGCGCTTCACCATCTTAGGCTGCATCACCAATCACCATCAGGTGGGATTGAAGTTAAGCGCTGGCTTAGAATAAAATTAAAAAACGGCTTTGCCGTAATAATCATGCCTGGCTCACTTGGCAATCGCAGTACGCAGACGCCTTGCAACTTCGACGCTGAATTTTATCGTCGAAATGCAAATTCTAAATCTGGCCATAAACATAACACACAAAAAAATTTAAAAAGTTCGATCGTATTATCCGACCAAATAAAGTCGGTACTTGAAATAATTGTTTACCGTAGAGCTGGAATAAATCAACAGTAGGGCTCTCAAATTATTCGTATTGATAAGCCGGCGCACGTTTGTCCTCTTCAAACACACCACCACTCAACTCTTTCGTCTGTAGCGTGCTTTATCTGGAGATTGGTAGAGCTATGAATAAATTAAATTTTCATTTATGGAAGAATATTATTTTTAACAACTCAATGTACTGTTA